TTCCCTGACTAGAGATTGAACCTGTGCCCTCAGCAGTGAAAGCGTGCAGTCTTAGCCACTGGGCCACCAGGGAATTTCTCTTCACTTGGTTAATTATAATCCACTACCAAAGTGGATTCCATGCTCACCTCAGCTACTCCATTTCTGAGTTCATTTATTTATTTATTTTTAATTAAAAAAAAAAATGTATCTCTTGGCCACACTGTGCAGCATGGCGGATCTTAGTTTCCTGACCAGGAATTGAACCCAGGCCCCTGGCATTTAGAACACGAAGTCTTAACCCCTGGACCACCAGGCAAGTCCCAAGTTCTTTTGTTTAGCGTTGCCTCTTAGCTGCTTGCCCTACAGCAGAAAGGGCTTCATAGTTTTTTTTCAAGGGTACATATACGCTTTAAGTTAAAATTTAACAATACATAATCACCTCTAAAAGTAAAAATAAAGCAAAACCAACTAAAACAATAGCAAGATATCCCAGTAGACTCCCCCCTGTACATAATATTGGCTTCCACTATGTCTTGCGTTTGATCTATCTTAGAAAGGATGGCTTGTGCTGAGATTTCATTCAGAAAACTGGTTTCCACTTCACCTCTGATAGACTGAGTAAAATGAAACTGCCTGCATCAAGTGTGGGGGAGGAGCACGTGGGCCTCTCACATACCGCCAGTGGGAGTGGAAAATGGTCAAGCACGTGGCAGGACTGCTTGGCAGATCTACTGAGGCTATACATATGCCAACCCCATGACCAAGCAAGCCGACTCTTGGCTGCAAATCCAACAGACATGCATAAACATGTTTATTAGAAGGGCATATGAATATTCATAGCAGCAGTAACTGTAATAGCTCCCAAGTAGGAACTACCCAGATGCCCATTACACAGTGTATTTACAAAACAGAACGCTATTCAGTGATGAGACCCGATAATCTACAAATACATGATAGTGTACGTACCTACTACAAATATGGTGTTGTACTTATCACCTACTACATTTACCTACTATAGCTGGGTAGGTACTCCAACTATGGTATTGGAGAAGACTCTTGAGAGTCCCTTGGACTGCAAGGAGATCAAGCCAGTCAATCCTAAAGGAAATCAGTCCTGAATATTCATTGGAAGGACTGATGCTAAAGTTGAAACTCCCATACTTTGGCCACCTGATGTGATGAGCCGACTCATTAGAAAAGACCCTGATGCTGGGGAAGACTGAAGGCAAACGGAGAAGAGGGCAGCAGGGGATGAGATGGTTAGATAGCATCACCAACTCAATGCACGTGAATCTGAGCAAACTGGGAGATAGTGAAAGACAGGGAAGCCTGGCGTGCTGCAGTCCATGGGGTCACAAAGAGTTGGACACGACTCAGCAAGCTTCCTACTTTGTGCCAGTCACTTTGTCTCTGCTAGCTCATTGTAAGGCACTCTGTGAGTTAGAAATTCTGTGCCCCATTTTACAGATAGGTAAACCGAGGCCACAGGCTGGAGGTGCTCTCCCCTCATGCCAAGCCTCTCTCCAGATAGAAGCACTTCTCTATGTAGACTGCATTCCTGCTCCTGGCTCCACTCCTGATTGAAGGATCCGGCTCAGTTTTTCATTTCTCTAGGCAAGAAGACTGGAGCGGGTTGCCCTTTCCTCCTCCAGGGGATCTTCCCAACCCAAGATGTCTCTTACATCTCCTGCATTGACCGGTGGATACTTTACCACTAGTGCCACCTGGGAAGCCCTATGTGTAGAGTTCAGTTCAGTCACTCAGTCATATCCGACTCTTTGTGACCCCATGGACTGAAGCATGCCAGGCCTCCCTGTCCATCACCAACTCTCAGAGCCTACTCAAACTCATGTCCATTGAGTCAGTGATGCCATCCAACCATCTCATCCCCAGTCATCCCCTTCTCTTCCTGCCTTTAATCTTTCTCAGCATCACGGTCTTGTGCAGAGTAACGTTTCTTAATTCATAAAGACTCTGACACCATCCTCAGGGGTCAGTAAAGGATCTCACAGGTAAGGAAATGGGCCCAGGGAGGTGAAATGACTACCCGAGGTCCCACTGCACCTTCCTGCAGGGTGATTGACCGAATGATTCTCACCAGGCCATTCCCCTGTCAGGCCCACAGGGGTTAACAGGCCCAGTGTGCAGCAGGAGGGAGGGTCTCACAGAGGGTGAGGGGTGGGGAGTGGGCTGCCCCCTCTAGGACCCTGACTCCACCTCGGTGGGCAGCTTGAGCCCCTGCCAGCCTCTTGTTGACTCAGCCAGCCTCTCTCCTGCCAAGGCCTGCTGACCAGAGCTCCCACGGGGAGGGTCAGGCTGCATTCTTCTTGGGCTGGAGCCTGGGTGGGGGGGTGGCTGGCACCTACTGGTGGAGGCTGTGTGCTGGTCTGTGGGTGCTGGGCCAGATGCTGGGGTGAGGCTGGGGGATGGACCAGCCTGAGAATCAGCTCCTTGAGCGTGTGTGCGGTTTAGCTTCACCATGACTGAGTTAGGTGATCTCCGCAAGCCACTGCCACCATCCTGTGTGCACCCTGCCTCAGTTTCCCTGTCCATCGAATGGACACAGTGATGATAAGCTGGCCAGTGCTACCACACAGCTACTGGGAGGATCAAAGAAACAAATGAGTTTGGTCAGAGTGAACGCCCTTTGCACCTCAAGGACCTGGGCACGTTGGCTGGCCAGCCAGCTGGGCATTCTTGAGGTGGAGTACATGAACAGGAAGCGATGCAGGGCAGCTCTCGGCTGTGGCATGTCTGCCTGACATCCCTGTCTCCTCCCTGGTCCTGACATAATGACAGTAACAGGAGTGACCCCTCCTCCCAAGTGCACAGCCCTTCAGAGTTTACCAAGTCCTTCCATTCCCATTCCCTCAGGTCCCCCACCCTCCTGCCTCAGGGCCTTTGCACTGGGTGCCTTCTGCCCGGAACACTCTTCCCAGACGAGTGAAAGGCTGCCTCCCTCTCAGCTCCAATGTCACCTCTGCAGGAGTCAATGAAACACTCATTTAAACTAACATCTCCCTGACCCACCTGGGCTTCCCAGGTGGCATTCAGTTCAGTTCAGTTCAGTTGCTCAGTCATGTCCGACTCTTTGAGACCCCATGGACTGTAGCATGCCAGGCCTCCCTGTCCATCACCAACTCCCGGAGTTTACCCAAACTCATGTCCATTGAGTTGGTGATGCCATCCAACCATCTCGTCCTCTGTTGTCCCCTTCTTCTCCTGCTCTCAGTCTTTCCCAGCATCAGGGTCTTTTCAAATGACCAGGTGGCACTAGTGGTAAAGAACATGCCTGCCAATGCAGGAGACATGGGTTCCATCCCTGGGTCAGGAAGATCCCCTGGAAAGGAAATGGCAACCCATTCCAGTATTCTTGCCAGGAAAAATCCCATGGACAGAGGAGACTGGCGGGCTACAGTGCACAGGGTCGCAAAGAGTTAGACACGACTGAAGTGACTTAACATGTACCAACCCCTCGCCCCACCAGCACCCTCCCTTCCCCTCTGTGTCTTTTACAACTGCCCCCTAAACTCTGGCCTTGGGGGTCTCTTCCTGTCTCCCTGATTAGGTCACAGTCACACACATGAGGCTCATCTGAAACTCATAGGTAGGTCCCTCCCCTCCGGCAGTGGAAAACACCCTTTCCTGAGATGGGCCACAGCTCCTGACCTGGGTCCCGCAGCCCCCCAGGAATTGGTGAGGGATGACCTCAGACAAGGGGGTCCAGATGAGAGCAGCCCTGGCCTCCTCAGCACCACGGTCTCCGTCAAGGTAGAGCACCATCACGGTGGTCTCTCTGAAAACAGTCCCCGACGAATGGTGAGCACCACTTCCTGCCTGATCTTCCTTTCCTTGGGACGTTTCATTCGATTTCTCTTGGGGCTTCCAAGGGATACAGAACAGAAACAAGGAGAGTGCACAGTCGCTGAGCTGTACGTTTCATGCAATCAGGACCTGCTGTGGGCCCGACCCTGGGGGTCTCATCACGAGTTTAATCAGGGCGGCTTATGCTTTTTCCCCAAATCCTACTGGAGCTGCCAACTTTAGAGAAAGATGCATTAACTAGTCCTCTCTTTTGTAATAAATGGGCTTTGCTTCTCCCCACCCTTCATTTCATGAGGCGGCAGTTGGAACAGGACACAAATCCCAAGGGTGGAGATGGAGTGGACAGCCAAGAGAACAGACTGTGGCCCCACCTCTGGCTCTGCTCCCCCATCTCCAGCACATGCACTCGCTACACCTCAGTTTCTTCATGCATAAAACAAGAGGAGCCCTTGAGATTGCTGGGGGTTAGAGATAAGGGGTATGTATACAGGAGACATTCTGCATAAAGCCTTCCAAATGCTGTTTCAGTTAGAGGAAACTGAGTTCTTCACCTCTTCTCTAGGATCAGCCCAAATGGCCCCTGACCCGGCGTGGCTCAGTCACATCCCTCCCCTCCATCCTCTGGATGCCCTGGCCTCCGTCCTGCTCTTCACACATCCTCTGACCCCAGAACCTCAGCGGCGGCTACGGGCTGCACCCCGGTCTCCACAAGGCTGTTTCTGACTCCCCCCGCAACTTCTCCATCCCTGTTTTTCTCACGTCACAGCACTGAACTGCCTGCGGTGACCCCGCTGCTTTGTCTGTGTGTTTACAAGGGCAGAAACGCACCCCAGCTTCTCCTCAAGCCCTGACCACAGAGCCACTCCCTTTCCAGAGTCCTCCCAAAGCCCAGGTCTAGACTTCCTGCTTCCCAGACAGGAGGCTGTGTCTGGGGTGGGGCCAGCCGCATCTAGAATCTTAAATCCCACCTAGGCCCCCACACAGGTGTGGCTGGCCTGCATCCTGACCCAGAGACAGTGACTCTGGTCTCCTCTGGGGACACAAAGCCACCATCTCCTCATGAGGGTCTGGAGGAGCTCAGTGTCCACGTGGGCTCGTCACCCACGGGCACTGGTGTCAGGATCCAGGCTGGGTTAACGTGCTTGGAGGGGGCAGCAGGAATAAAGAGACACAGCCAGGAGGAACATCTGTATTTAAAATTCCTCCCCTTCATTCTCTTCTTCAAATGAATCAGTCCCCACTTCCTCATAATCCTTCTCCAGGGCAGCCAGGTCCTCCCGGGCCTCAGAAAACTCGCCTTCTTCCATCCCCTCTCCGACGTACCAGTGCACGAAGGCGCGCTTGGCGTACATGAGGTCGAACTTGTGGTCCAGGCGGGCCCAGGCCTCGGCGATGGCCGTGGTGTTGCTCAGCATGCACACGGCCCGCTGTACCTTGGCCAGGTCCCCCCCAGGGACCACCGTAGGGGGCTGGTAGTTGATGCCCACCTGGGAACAGAGGACCAAGACATGGTGGTCAGTGGATAACTCAAGCTGGGGCACCCTGGTCATGTAGTGGGGGAGTGGATACGGGGCAGCAGGCCTGGATGTGAAGAGTGGGGATCAGGAGGTGGGGGGTGGGCAGGTAAAAGTGCATGTGGAAGAGAAAGCAGAAGTAAGTGGGATTGGGTGGGGAAATTCGAGGGGAGAGGAAGAGCTGGCAGAAGTGCTCCCAGGAGACATAAGCAGACAAGTGAGGGTCCGGAACAGGGGTCAGGCAGGGGGCGTGTGCAGTGCCCAGAGATGGAAGTTATTGTGAATTCACTCCTTCCAGGGGAATTTCAGGTTTTTCTCTTAGTTATGCTGTCAATAGATTTAGGGCAATTTCTCTGCCAAGGGTGAATTTTGCATGCATGAGTGCATGCTCAGTCCTGTCCAACTCTTTGCAACACTATGGACTGTAGCCTGGCAGGCTCCTCTGTCCATGGGATTCTCCAGGCAAAAATACTAGAGTGGGTAGCCATTTCCTCCTCCAGGGGATCTCCCTAACCCAGATATCGAACCTGGGTCTCCTGCATTGGCAGGCGGATTCTTTATTACTGAGCCACTTGGGAAGCCCCGCCAAGGGTGAAGGGTGGTGTTTAAAAGATCACAGAGATATTCTCAAGCAATAAATAAATAGACACAAAAGCTTCTGAGGATGGTGTTTGCATCTACCAGGCCCTCTGCCTCTGGGGTGTGAGGCTTTTTGGAGGAAAAGCATGGAAATCTAAGAAAGTCAGTTAAGGACTTCCCTGGCAGTCCAGGGGTTAAGAATCCACCCGCCAATGCAGGGGACACGGGAAGATTCCACACGCCTCAGGGCAACTGAGCCCATGCACCACAGCTACTGAGGCTGAGCTACAGACCCCGTGCTCTGCAGCAGAAGGCGCTGCAATGAGAAGCCCAAGCACCCCAATTAGAGAGTAGCCCCTGCTCATTGCAACTAGAGAAAAGCCCGAGGACAGCAACGAAGTCCCGGCACAGCCACAATTAATTAATTAAAAGAAAGAAAGTCAGTTAAAAAATCTTGCTGGACAAGTGGATCCCCCAAGTTCTAGAAGCATGGAGGGCCCTCCAAGCTGATCCAGCCCCTCTGAAGGTGGGCTACCATCCTGGAAATCTCCCTTCTCCCACACACATCCCAAACCAGGAACTCTGGGAACCGGGAAGGGGCCTCAGGTGACCACTATGAGAATAGTCACAGGACACTGAGACCGGGAGCTGGTCCCCAAATGCCTCTCCTGCCTAGGCCACTGGGTCTTAACTGCCAATCTCTTAAACTCACAGCTTTAAAATATAAGTCCTCTTGAGAGGCAGAGGTGGGAGTGGCATCAGGCTACAGAGCCAAGGCGGGTAACCCAGAATGGTCTACCATTCCTCTTAGACGAAAGTGGCATCATAGGGGTGGAAGTGATGCTGAGACAGGGGCAGAGGATTAAAGAGGAGAGGGAGGCAGTACCACATCACACGTCCACTGGACCAGCCATCTGTGCTCTCTCTTCAACAGCAGCATCCCTGGGCCCTCGTCAGTGGGGACAAACATCCTGGGGAGTGTGCTACAGCGTGAAGTTCAACACCATCCACCCCCATGGCATGTGCTTTTCTGAGAAGCAGCTAAAGGTTCTAGCACTGCCTTATCCTTCTGGTCATAATCCCAAACTTCAGCTAAAAGTGGAGGGCTGAGGGACTTTCCTGATCCAGTGGTTACGACTTCGCCTTCCAATGCAGGGGGTGCCAGTTTGATTCCTGGTTGGGGAGCTAAGATCACACATGGCTCGTGGTCAAAAAACCAGAAACATAAAACAGAAGCAGTATTGTAACCAATTCAATAAAGACTTTAAAAAATAAATAAAAGGATGAGAATATGGGGGCATCTCTTTTTTGTTAATTTCTTGATCACCCTTTTTTTGTCTATTTATTTTACTACTAGCTTGTTTTGTTGTTTCTGTTTGAAAGAGAAAATAACAACAACTTGGGGTAAGATCGTGAATGTTTTCACAAGTGTGACCAGAACTGCCACGTTAGGACAGATGCAGCCCAGGGGAGAGGATTCTGGTCGAGGTTGGGAGCAGAGCTGTGCGGAAACCACTCGCCCATCAGCAGCTCAGCCAAGAGCCCGGCACGAGGTGCCTTGTTTGCAAAAGTCCCACCAGGGAAAACTGAGACGACTAACTCATCTCTGTCTCCAGCAACTGGCACAACCTCCTCTGGTGTTCGGTAAACCTCTGAATTATTAAAGGCCTGCCTGAGGAGACTAGCTAACATGAATGGTGGCAGTTGCTCTGATGGTGAACTCTGATGAGAGACCCTGGGCAGAGGCAGTTGTCTGTCTAGCCAGGGCAACTCAGAGGGGCGGCTCCCAAGAGCATCCTCGGTCCTGAGAGCTGGGGTCTTCTATTCCCCCACTGACCCACAGACCACAGACCTACAACCGGCTCCCAGCTCACTCCTGCTTAGTGAAAACATCAGGGCTTCATAATGTAAGTGAATCACAGCCATATAATAACCATAAACTTTCTTATCCTTACTCTAAATTGATGAAAACATACAAGGTGAACAATTTTTCAAAACAAACTGGGGAGAAGGACACATCCTTTGTTAGAGGAGGGAACTGCACGTCTTCTCTGGCAACTTGAATAATCCGGTCACTGCATTCTCTGATCTATGGTCAGATCAGGGCTACCTCCACCCCCCTGCCCAGTTACCCCACTTGCACACACTGGCCTAGTTCTCTCCTGCCAGATCTCTGAGATGCTGACAGACCATCCGGTGGGAGCGGTGGGCCCTCCCCCTTTGCCATACTGCCCCTCCCCTCATCCAGTAACAAACCCCCAACCCCCAGTCTCTCCAGGCCTAAAAAAAGGGCCCGAACAAATGAGTGGATGAATGAAATTAGCATTACACTGGCCTACGCCCCTCTCCCTGTGTTGTCCCAAAGCTCCCATGGAACACATGTCAGCCCAGGACCCCAGTCTCCACCTCTTCCTCCCCATCCTCGGTCTCCCTCTGCTTCTCTAGCTGCCTGTCTCCATCGCATCCCCCGCTCTCACCTTGAAGCCCGTGGGACACCAGTCCACAAACTGGATTGTCCTCTTGGTCTTGATGGCGGCAATGGCGACGTTCACGTCCTTGGGCACCACGTCCCCCCGGTAGAGCATGCAGCAGGCCATGTACTTGCCGTGGCGAGGGTCGCACTTCACCATCTGGCTGTTGGGCTCAAAGCAGGAGCTGGTGATCTCAGCCACGGACAGCTGCTCATGGTAGGCCTTCTCAGCTGAGATGATGGGCGCGTAGGTAACCAGCGGGAAGTGGATGCGGGGGTAGGGCACCAGGTTGGTCTGGAACTCGGTCAGGTCCACGTTGAGGGCGCCATCGAAGCGCAGTGAGGCTGTGATGGAGGACACAATCTGGCTGATGAGCCGGTTGAGGTTGGTGTACGTGGGCCGCTCGATGTCCAGGTTGCGCCGGCAGATATCATAGATGGCCTCGTTGTCCACCATGAAGGCGCAGTCTGAGTGCTCCAGAGTCGTGTGCGTGGTCAGGATGGAGTTGTAAGGCTCCACCACGGCTGTGGAGACCTGAGGGGCCGGGTAGATGGCAAACTCCAGCTTGGACTTCTTGCCATAGTCCAGGGAGAGCCGCTCCATGAGCAGAGACGTGAAGCCCGAGCCAGTGCCGCCCCCGAAGCTGTGGAAGATGAGGAAGCCCTGCAGGCCCGAGCAGGCGTCTGTCTGAGAGAGGAGGACACAGACAAAGCTCTGAGGACAGCCTTGCATGGGCACCGGCAGGCAGCCCTCGCTGTTGGCCCGCTCCATCCCACAACATTTTCTTTTTTTTTTTTTTTTATTTTTTATTTATTTATTTTTTTATTCTTTTTTTTTTTTTTAATTTTATTTTTTAATTTTTTTTTTTATCACAACCATAGTGTATCTTTTTTTTTTTTTTTTTACATGTATTCCCCATCCCGGTCCCCCCTCCCACCTCCCTCTCCACCCAATCCCTCTGGGTCTTCCCAGTGCACCAGGCCCAAGCACTTGTCTCGTGCACCCAACCTGGGCTGGTGAACTGTTTCACCCTAGATAATATACGTGTTTCAATGCTGTTCTCTTGAAACATCCCACCCTCGCCTTCTCCCAGAGTCCACAAGTCTGTTCTATACATAGGAGTCTCTTTTTCTGTTTTGCACATAGGGTTATCGTTACCATCTTTCTAAATTCCATATATATGTGTTAGTATACTGTAATGGTCTTTATCTTTCTGGCTTACTTCGCTCTGTATAATGGGCTCCAGTTTCATCCATCTCATTAGAACTGATTCAAATGAATTCTTTTTAATGGCTGAGTAATATTCCATGGTGTATATGTACCACAGCTTCCTCATCCATTCATCTGCTGATGGGCATCTAGGTTGCTTCCATGTCCTGGCTATTATAAACAGTGCTGCGATGAACATTGGGGTACACGTGTCTCTTTCAGATCTGGTTTCCTCGGTGTGTATGCCCAGAAGTGGGATTGCTGGGCCATATGGCAGTTCTATTTCCAGCTTTTTAAGAAATCTCCACACTGTTTTCCATAGTGGCTGTACTAATTTGCATTCCCACCAACAGTGTAAGAGGGTTCCCTTTTCTCCACACCCTCTCCAGCATTTATTGCTTGTAGACTTTTGGATAGCAGCCATCCTGACTGGTGTGTAATGGTACCTCATTGTGGTTTTGATTTGCATTTCTCTGATAATGAGTGATGTTGAGCATCTTTTCATGTGTTCCCACAACATTTTCAAGTGGGTGAAATCAAACCGTCCTTGAAGAAGTCAGAAAACACAAAGGAGCTGCAGCGCTCTTGAGAGGGATGGTCAAAATATAGGTCAGCAAACATGTACTCGCCTCCAGGTCCATGAAGCTTCCAGCCTACTGGTCTGTTTGGACCAGAAATGAGGTTCCGAAAGGACTTTGCCCTGTGTGGACCCCAGCTCCTTGCCCATTCCCCTGGCCCTGTCGTTTGATTCTGTGGAAACTGCAGGCTTACACAGCCCTGCCCAACCTTGCAAGGTGGCTCAGGGTACCAATTTCAGAGAGATAAATGGGTCAGAGACCCTGAGATTTAACATCAACTTTGCCATTTCCCAGCTATAAATATTTGATCAAATTACTGAACCCTCCGGACTCACGTTTCTTCTTAAAATGTGGACAATAAACACATTCCTCTCATAAATAAGGTTATTGTGATGGTTCAGTGAGAAGTCCCACTGTGCTCAGCAAGGACAGTGAGACCTCACCAGAACTAAGAGAATTCGTAGGTCATGGAACTCCCCCGCTGGATGTGATCTATGACTGTGTTCAGTTGGATGTTCTGAACTTTGGGGATCGCAGATGACTTTGGGACTGATGACCCCCACGAACCCTGCTCTAAACAGGAAAGGTGAACAAGCGAAAACTCGGCACCCTTATCTCCCAAGTCAAGAGCCCCTGATCAAGCTCGCCTCTCCACTGCACAGATTAGGAACGGGGCTCAAGTAGACAAGTGACTCCCTGAGCTTCCCAGTCAAACCAACCCAGTTCAGACCTTGACTCAGCCACTTTCTAGCTGGGGGACCCAGACCAAGTCACTGAACCACTCTGGCCTTCTGTTCCCCCAACTGTAAAGTGCAGGCACAAGATCGCCTTTGTATCATTGTTTAGGGGATTAGACAAAGGAACGTATGTGACATTTGTAATAGCATCTGTAAAGTGCTGAAATAGATTGACAGTCTTCCTCTTCTCCTCCAAGTTAAATGCTTTGTTAAGTGAAATAAAGTCACCTTTTCAACCTTCTCAAAATAAAACAAAAAAATGCTTTGTTAACCTGTTGCTGCCATCTAGCAAAGAATTCCACCTTCCTCACCCCTGGGATTTCTCCCCAACACCACCACAGAGCATCCGTACGTGCTACCAGCCACCAGCCTGGAGGGCAGCCCCCATGGCCCAGGCGGAGGAAGGGGCGCCAGCCCTACATATGCCTTTTACAGAACACAAGCAGAAATTCCCAAGTCTCAGGTGTTTATCCTGCAACCAGGGGCCACGTCCTCCTGCTGGCCTGTCCACGTTGGCAGGCTCTCCAGCTCCCCACTCTTGCAAACACGTACCAGCTTGCGGATGCGGTCCAACACCAGGTCGATGCTCTCCTTGCCCACCGTGTAGTGGCCCCGGGCGTAGTTGTTAGCTGCATCCTCTTTTCCCGTGATCAGTTGCTCTGGATGGAAGAGGTGGCGGTAGGTTCCTGCCCGAACCTCATCTACCGAGAGAGGGCGACCATCAGTCTTACCATCTGGTTCCCAGAGGAGATGCCCCACTTCCACGAGAACACATGACACCCTATCTACTAAACTCCACTGAGGTGGAACAGAAAACCCCAGAATACACCTGCGAGGCCAGGGGAATTTCAGGCTAACACAGGCTCCACTGGAGCAGAAGCCTGGGACTCAAGCAGCAGTGAGAAGCCAGCTGCTCTTGTGGCAGGACCTTAGGGAGCCTTGGGTTTGTTCACAAAGCTGGGCAGATACTAAGGTTGACTGCCTCATCCCCCTGGACCCCCACAGCTTCCCTCCAGGTTTTCCTTCATGCTGCAAAATTTATCCCAGAATATAACCAACTTTACTCGCCCCTAGATGCTTCAGGGACACAGGGAAAGATTCAGAATGACCTGCTCCCAGGCTCCCCAGGGATTGTCCCAGACCTAACCTCCACCTCCGGAGGCAACAATACACATCAGGCATTAGAGATATTTCAGAACGACTTTGAAGCAAAGCTGTGTTCCAGGTTCCAGAAGACCCCGAGCCTGAGAGTGGTTCCAGCAGCATGGGCGCTCTGCTCACCTCTTAGGTCCACCAAAGTGGACACACAGCAGACCAGGGTGCCTCAGGCCCCACCGCCATCCCCCCTCCTCTACAGTGCCCCTCTGCTCCTCCAGGGAAAGCACCCATCAGTACAGTGGCCCAGGAAGGTCATTTATCCTTTCTGTATTTGCACAAAGTGTCCGAAACGTGGAGGGCCTGGTGTCTGTGGCCCTAGAGACAGTGCTCAGGCTCTAAAGGCAGTGCCCAGACATCCCTGGGGACATGTCCATCTTTGCTGGTGAGTAGGTTTTGAAGCTGAGGAAATGCTGATGAAGCATATGGACCGACCCGGGGGTGCTAGGGGTGGCAGCAGGGAGAACAAGAATCCTGCCCCAACCCAAGTCAGTACTCCTGTTTCCCTAAGATTCAGATGAGGTTCACTCCAACCTCCATCAACCTGGGCTGTAAGAGAAAGTGCCTGCTGCTATTTCGTCTCATGTGCGAGAGGCTGCAAGGTAACACCAGGCCCGCCAGGACGGACTGCAATCACTAGAGAACTGGAAACATACACTTCGGGAAACTGACTATGTGAGGGCTTCTGATAATTTCTGAAATTACTGGTATTTTTGACCCTTAGTATTTAGTGAACAATTTTAGCAATTTTGGTCTGCCTCAGCAGTTTTGGGGGGATAGCGCCAGGATGAAGCTTTAACGGAGGAGCAGAGATCTCTGATCCCCACCTGAGAGCCCGAGACTAGGGAGGGTTCCAGGAACCAGGAGTCACATGGGGGGAGGGTGGGAGTCAGGAGGGTCACCATTCCACGTGGAGGCCAGCCTCCCAAGCCTCCCCAGACACCAAGGTGGACCGCAGCACCACGGTGGACTGCGGCAGACCATGGTGGACCCTGGCCTCCGCGGCCTGGTGCTGCTCCTGGGCAGGACCCTGGCCCACACTCACCCACCACTGTGGGCTCCAGGTCGACCATGACGGCCCGGGGCACGTGCTTCCCGTTGCCGGTCTCGCTGAAGAACGTGGTGAAGGAGTCATCCTCATGGACCTTGCTGGCCTGTGCGCCAAAGGTGCCATCGGCCTGGATGCCGTGCTCCAGGCAGAAGAGCTCCCAGCAGGCATTGCCGATCTGGACCCCAGCCTGGCCCACGTGGACGGATATGCATTCCCGCTGCAGGCAGAGAGCAGGCCAGTCAGAACCCCAGCCGGCCACACCTCTGCCCAGACCCCCAGACCCCGCCTCTGAGTACTTGTCCCCTCCTGGCACTAGGCAGGCAGGACACCCTGCCCCCACCCAGCAGGCGGGCTCCTGGCCCCACGGCCTCTGGATCAAGACTCGGTTCCAAAGAAGAACCCCAGCTCCACGGTTTGCTGTGAGGGTGGCTTTCCACAGTTAATCCTTTGTGTCAAGAAAAGGAAAGAGAGGGTCAGCCACACAGATGAAACAGGATTAATTCCCAACCATGGACGGACTCCTGCACTGGTGAAGCCGGTCCAAGGAAGAACCAGTGAGAACAGCAGAATCCATTCTCAAATCCACCTCCATGTCTGGTGCACTGATCATGTTCCTCCCTCAGCCAGAGTCTCCCAGAAACTGTCTCACACGCACACGCACACATGCTCACGCACACACTGCACATCTCCCCATTGCAGAGCGGAGAAACACTCACGGGAGGACTGTATCTAGGAGTCTGTATCACGGGTGTCATTACTGTTTCATGCACAAATGTAGGAATAAGAAAGGGTCAGTACAGGGGCTTCCCTGTGGGTCCCAGCAGTTAAGACTCTGCCCTCCCAATGGAGGGGGCCTGGGTTCAATCCCTGGTCAGGGAACTAGATCCCACATGCTGCAGCTCACACCTGGTACAGCCAAATAAATAAATAAACAAATATTTAAAATAAACATTTATTTTTTAAAAACAGGATCAGCACATCAGCAGGGAAGGGCTGGGAGGGGACAGGCAGGCCCTCTGTGGCCACTATAACCTAGTCCCTCACCCATCAGGCCAAGAGCCAAATAAAGCTGACCTTCAGAGGGTCCTTCTCCGTGTTACTCTGGTGTGAAGCCACAATTACACGACTGGTTCTGGTATTAACCGCTTAGGATAGGGAGGGGTGCGTGTATCTGAATGTGTGAGGTGATATATATGTGGGTGTATGTTTGTAAGAGTGTGATCGTGAGCGTGTTCGAGAGTGGCAGTGTGTATGTGTGTGCAGACATGAGTGTGTGTGCTGTGATCGTATAGTGGTTAGTACTCTGCGATGTGAGACATGAGTGTGTGTGTGAGTGTGTTATGGTTCTGCTGGGGCGGCGTGCCCATCGTCCCCCACGCCCCTCCAGGGAAGTACTGGCCCCACAAGGAGCCTCTGTGCCCGGGACAGAGCTGGGCTGGGAACCATGTGCCTGGTGTGTGGCCTTCTATTCTTATCCATGACCCGAGCTGGCATTTTCCAGCTCCAGGGAACCCAAACCCAGTGTACAGCCTCCAGAGACCAGGGCTGGGTGAAGGCCATGGGACTCCTGGGACCCAGGGGCTCTCCTGGTGCGGGGGTAGGCTGGCCGGAGGCATCAGGACCCAGTGCCCTAACGCTGTTGTGCAGCGTGGACGCCGGTCTCTGTGCTGCTTGGCCTCTGGGCCTCACAGAGGCCTGGCCGGGAATACAACCGGCCATGTTTCCGTGAGCCTGGTGGCCAGGAAAGGGCTTTACGCACGAATCTTGCCTCTCAAGTTACAAGCTGTGCTGTGTGGGCTGGGCTGAGTTACATAACCTCCCTGCGTGTGAAAAGCACAAGTTACCATGATCATGTCTGCTATGGTCACCCTTGTCTTCAGCATCATCATTACGCATTTTCATCCCTGTAGCCTTACTCTCCACCTGGAAGATACACCCATGGGAAGCCAGAGACCGCAGGCTACTGCTCCTCTTATGATGAAAGGGCTTCATCTTAGGGCTCGATTCAGGCATGAGGAAGCAGGATCCTTCCCCAAGAACCCCCGAATCCAGCAGATACTGACTGGACCACACTTTCACAGGAAGCCATGGCCTTCTCGGGGACAGCACGTGTGAGCGAGGGGACCTGGAGAGGCCTGAAAGGAGCTGGTCCCACATGCTGTCCTGTGGCCCCGCCCCCAACCATCTCCAGGCACCCCTCCCCCACCCCGCTGTGGGTGCTCTGGGCCTTTCTGGAAGGAAAGGAAGATCAAAGGTGAGAGGAGAAGACGGAAGGATCTGAGGTCCTGAAGACCACCAACGTGGGGACACGGATGTTTTCACATCCCTTTAACGTCATGCGAGTCAATATGCCAGTCTCCACAACAGAAATCAGCCTCACACACAGGCACACAGCCCGCAGGAGGAGGGAGCTGGCTTCCCTGTTAAACTAATTCACAAGAGTAACTAGAAGCATAAGACAGACTCAGAAATAACACGGGTCAGAAAGAGGAACAGCAGTAGTCAACCAAAATAGGATGGACACGCAAAAATCCACAAATCCTTCGTGTTGTTAAGGAAAAAAACCCATAGGAGAGAAACGCATCTACCTATCCAAACAGCCCTGTTGACGAGGGAGAGCGCTTCTTTTAACAGAAGACTGTGCGCTAGTCAGGGTGGAAGGAATAATATACTAAGAAATATTGCATATGATAGTTTTTAATTATATAATTGATTTGGACAAGGACTGAAGGGGAACTAGATATTCACAGAGTGCCAAAGAATCACTGTTACTTACAGGTCACAAGGGGAAGTTAACTTCAATGGTTACCAGCCTCTGACCCTGGGATGGATTGTAACCTCTGACCCTGGGATGGATCGTAACCCCACGGCAGCAAGAAAACCCGATGTAATGCAGTAGGACACACACACCTCCCAGGAAAGCTTCTTGTCAGCCTTAACAAATATTGTATATTAACACATACATATGGAATACAGAAAAATGGTACAGATGAACTTGTTTGCAGGGCAGGAATAGAGACCCAGACGAAGAGAATGGACTTATAGACACAGAGGGGGAATGGGAGGAAGGGACAAATGGAGAGAGTAGCACTGACACATATACACTACCCTGGGTAAAACAGGTAGCTAATGGGAAGCTGCTGCACCAGATGGCGAGCTCAGCTGGGTGCTCTGTGATGACCCAGGGGCTGGAATGGGGGCTGGGTTGGGAGGGAGGCTGGAGAAGGAGGGGACATGTGTACACACAGCTGGGTCACTCTGCTGTACACAGAAACTAACAGCATTGTAAAGCAATTATACTCCAATAAAAAAATAAAACTTTTTAAAAACTTAAATACTCAGCCTTAGTGTATTAAACCCTTTATAGGTAGCTCCAACTTTATAGAAAACACAGGGGTCCAGGGATAAGAGACACTACAAGCAAGACTCCACAAGCCGGTAAGTTCTATAGGGCAACTGACCCGCTCTTCTCAACTCATGAAAATCAAAGGTGAGGGAGGAACTGACCCACATCGAGTGGAACTTAAGAAATATAACATACACATGGAGTGTGTGAATTTTAACTGAATTCTGGTTTGAACAAATCAAAATATTTGAGGGGATAGATAGATAAACTGATTAATGTTGTTAAGCATGATAATGAAAGTGTAGTTAAGTATCAAAAAGCTCTTATTTTTTGAGTCACTTCTGAAGCATTTAGGGTAAAACGTCATGACATCTACATTTGAGTTTACTTCAACAAGCACAGCAGATAAAGTAAACATGGCAGAAAAATAGTAATTATTAAATCTAGATGACGGATATGTGGGTGGTGATACACTGCCAAACTCTTCTAAAGTTTTGACAGTTCTCATACTGAAAACACAAACATTTAAGAAAGGAAACAGTGAGATCTGGGTGAGGAGCCATCGACAAGGGCTCATCGACATAACAACCCATCGACAAAGGCCAGGCCTGTCCTGTTCCTGTCCACTTAGTCATTCATTCAGCTGACAATTTCCAAGAGCCCAGTTGGTTGGGCAAACAAGAACTGTAAAGTTACACAAGGGAGAATTCCTTGGTGGTCCAGTGATTAGGACTCAGGTGCTATCAGTGCTGGGGACAAGGGTCCAATTACTGGTTGGGGAACTGAGATCCTGCAAACCACGCAGCACGGCCAAAATAAATAAATAAATAAAATAAAGTTATACAAGGAAATCACCAGTGAGATGAAGTTAGGGGAGGTCCCCAGTGCTAACATCTGTGCCTCGTTTACACCTGCCCTGAGAGGACAAGGATCCCATCTGCTCCTCCAGCCACTCTTACTTGTCACCACCCCTCATTCCTGCCTGGAGTTTCTACACAGAAAAGCCAGGAGCATGTCCAGTGCTGACAGCCTTGGGGGCAGGCTCTCAGGTCCAAGACAGGTAACGGGGGAGTTTTTTGAGCTCAGAGCCTTCAGAAGCTCAAGCCAGACCAGCCTCATAGGTCATCCATTACAATTTCCACCACTTGTTTTATAGATGAAGAGGATGAGGCTCAGACAGGTAAAGGACAGATTGGAAATTTCACAGCTCTGTAAGGAAAGAGCCTGGGCCAAAATCCAGACTTTCTGACCTCTGCAGAGTCCTCTCCTGGACGCCACCCTGGACCCTTGCCTGGTTCTCACTCTGAGCCCCCAGGGCCCAGGGGCCATGCCCCCTCACGCCATCATCAGCCCCCCACGCCCTCACCAGTCCCTTACGCCTGCATCGGCCCCCCATGCCCACAGTGTCCACCACGTCCACAGCAGCCCCCACGCCCACCGCGGCCCAAGCCTGACAGCTGGAGCCCAGGAAAGCTTGTACAACAACACTCCAGACCAGAAAAAGCTCCATTGCAGAGAGAACAGAAGAGAACGGCTCAGTGTGGACGCCTCAGAAAACAGGCCACCCTTCCTGGAAGAACCAAGACTGTGCTCTGGGCCTGGTGTTGGGGGGGTGGGGAGAGGGGTGTGGGGCAGAGGCCGGTGTGTCCTGCAAGGGCGCAGGGGGCACCGGTGTGTGTGGGGGGGCCGGCTGGTGTGTGCTGGGGAGGGTGCTGGTGTGTGTTGGGGGCGGGAATGGGGGCTGGTGTGTGTTGAGGCGTCGGGGCGGGCCTGGTGTGTACTGAAGGAGAAGTGGGTGGTGAGGGGTGGGGCAGGGCTGGTGTGTGTTGAGGGGGAAGGGGGTGTGCTGACCGGGCAGACAGTATTTACAT